CAGTGACAGGCGTTGTCGCCAAACGTAGCAGGTCGTCCAGTAGAGCAGATAGGAAGAGCAGCCAACAGCGCCTACACTGGTGTTTCGTTGCAATGCAGACGTAAAGTAAGGGATACCATTATGATGAGTAGAAAGTGAAAGTGAATGGGAGTGCAAGACCTATAGCAATCAAACAAACATATTGGATTAGAGGACAACGTGTACGTTGTGAGGTCACGAAAAGCCGACGACAGCGTGAAAATGAAGGAGCGATGAAGAGATCATTCCGAGTAGCAAAAGACTTCACTTCAAACCAATGGCGCCAGTTCCGCGGGGCGAACGCAAATGCAAAGATCCCAATCCTACAGCAGATAGACGCAGTACCAGATAAAAAGTAAAACGCCCATGCGCTAACGGTAGTTTGCAACAGTGTTTTGTGCGGCAGTCAGACCAACCAAACAAGAGCACTACATAGCGAGGATGTTTCTATCACAGTGTTACGAAAACAACCGTGGGAAAACAAGAAAACAAAGTGTAGCTACCGCAGCAGACTAGCCAGCCTCTCTGTGATGTGAAGGTTGCTCGTATTGTGTCATGTCAGAAATGACTTGCTCAGAAGCATTGAGAGAGCGAGGAAGGGAAAAGTGGACATTATTCATCCAGTTGATTAAAGTGCGTGCAGTAGAAACTGTCGCGCCACCCTAGTGAGGGGTTACGTTTCGGTCCTAATGGCCACTGGACCAAAATAACTGTCAAATATGGATGTGGCGCGCAGATGAAATAGCCAGTAAAGCAAACTATCCCGTCCTTTGGAGTGAGTAGCTCTGATACAACACAAAGTGGAAAGCGAACTGTGACCCCAGGCAGATAGACTGGCATGAAATACAAGTTGATAGCTCTAAGCTGCAAACTGACTGAAACACCCGACCGTGAGTTGCTCTCCGAAGGCAGTATGATCCGGTACCGCACATTGGTCGTTTACTGTCACGGTGCAAAATGTCAAATAAGGCCAAACAACTGACACGAGATCATGTGCGCCGGACTGTATTTTCAGACACGCGCAATGGAGACGCACTTGCCGCTTAAAAACCATCTGCTCACGAGGAAGTTGGCACCAAACGAAAGCCCTCGCGATATCCAAAGCACAGCAAGCAACAGGTAGTTACTAGGAAGCATGTAGACGCCGACGAAGCTTTAGCACGGTTTGGTGCAGTTTAAACGCAGCCAAATTTCCAAACGCAAGCCAGTCAGGTTAGCTCCGAAGAACAATTCTGATCCGGGCAACCATATGCGGTAGATCCATTTGGCACGATTTACGCCGACAGAATAGCTATAAATAACAACGGTAGAAAATGAGGTTGAACGCAAATGAAATACGTAGAAATTGCAATCAAGCGTGTAAAACCAACCGGGATGAAACTAAAGTACATAGCACACTGACTGTGTGACTGTGCCATATCTGATAGTCTCCAAGCGCTGATGTGGATCATGCCATAGATCCCATCATAAAAACGGCAGACACCAGCCTGACCAAATCGCTCGGATAATCGCATCATATTTTAATGCCATGTCATAGACTTGCCACCTCGTGCTTTGACCTAAATTGGTGCAGCCATGGCGTATAATGCACATCGAGGAAGCCGATCAAAGGACCTGCGGAGGACATGGTCTAGACAGAGAAAGCGAACCTCAGCATTGCTCACCCGGTGTTCCCACCAGACGTGAGCAATACTCTGCAAGCATCGGTGGTCGAGCACCGCCAAGCGTTTGATGTCTTCACAGATAACTGGCCAAGTCTCTGAGCTATACAATAGGACAGACCTTGCCGCGTGACTATACACCCTATCTTCTACTGGCTCACTGATATCCTGTCGTATCCACAAATGATTGAGTCACTGGAAAGCCACAAGGACCTTATTGATCGCCAAATAAGTTCCTCAGTGATGTGACTACCGGAGGTGACACAGCTACCAAGGTAAGTGAAGCGATCCACCAGTTCCAGTGGCTGTTCAGTGATAGCTAGAACGGGTGGCACAACGGTCTAGATTTACAACAGTACTTTGCATCTTGAAGGAGCAAAGCAGATGCCGAAGCGTGTAGTGCTACGCACCAATCCATTCAGTAGTGGTTGCATAACCACGGAGAGCAATGTCGTCAGTCAGGCACCTGAGAGATTCCACTCTAGCCGAATCTGAAAAAAGTCACCATGACCATTTGGATCACAAAGCTGAGGAGATGGGATATACGACAACCCGGCCGAACCCCACTTGTCGTGGGGAGATCAGGAGACAGTCCCACGTAGACCCTTAGTTGGCCTCGGGAGTTACGGTAGATTTCAGAATGGAAAGGAGTCTAGCTGGCACGTGCTTAATACATAGGAAGCGCTAGAAGCTGCTTCCATAAACAGAGTCGAAGGTAGGTTTCAGGTTAAGGAAAACCACCATAGTTGATCGTCCGAAATTATCTTCTCTAACACTCGTCGAAGACTAAACACGTGGTCGATGCAATGACGTCCAGGGTGGAAGCCAGCCTAGCTTTCAATGTTTGCCCTCTCGAAGAATGATAACCGTGAGAAGTTTAGAAGTAATGGAAATAAGGCTAACACTCCAATGATTTTCATACAAAGTTCGTTGACCCTTTTAAAGATGGGCATGACACTTGTCAGTTGTCTGTGTGAAGGTATCTCTTCATTGTCCTAAATCATGTTGAATAGATAGTCCTAAGTCAAAACCAAGACGCGGTATATGGACACATCCAAAGGCGTTAAACTGCTACTTAGCCTAAAAGATCGCAAATCTGTCTTGTAATCCGAGGGCGCAGGTTCGAGCCTGCATAGGGGACAAGGCGACCCCATGATTATCCGTAGCCCACACGCGATTGTTGGTGGTTGCGCGGCAGCGAAGCATTAGTACTGCGTACCGGCGTACTGTTGATACTTTGTTGGGTTGGGCACAGGAAATCAGATAAGGGAACTAAAGTTTCCCCTGACATAATAACATCGAACTCCAGACGGAAAACATTTCGGTCGATGGTATATTTACGCCATGTGAGGCAGAAAGCATCAGACTTCCCTCTAGTCGATGCAACAAGTGCTGAGTAACTCCTTGATGCGCAAAAGAAAATACTAAATCGTGATCTGAGTGTCGCCACGCGAAGAACTGATATATCACAGTTCCTGCCCCGGAGGTTATACATGTTGATGGTCGTGCAGCAAGGACACAAAACGGTGGGATGATAAGTGTTGAATACAGAGGTTAAGAAAGGATAGTTGTACTGAAGAACAAATAGATGGCAGATCAAACGAAAATATTGCCTAGCAGTTCGACAGACCTTGGCAGATGCGATCTCTAGGGTTTGGTAGTCAACCGAAGAATGCCACCAAGGAAGCAGACACGCTAGAATAAGAGTCAGCCATCAGGTCTTATCTACGTGTAACTGCATAGCCAACCTGGTGTTATTGGTGTAGTGCCATGGCACTTGTCCAACCTACAATGATAAGATCGTCCGTCATAAACACGTTAGGTCGGATGAAACTTTGGAGAATTAAGTGGAAGACGCTGACAAAAATACATAAATTGACCGAAAGGCTGGCGGCCTTTTTCTTCGAAGATGAAACCGGAAGAAACGGTTATAATAACGATTATACAAGGTATGACGATGCAATTGAGAAATTTGTGGCGCATTCATGTATCAACCAGTGCTGAAAACTGCAGACATTTACAGTCGACGAGTACAACCTTTCCAGAATAACTATCCGTTATCTTTCAGTAACGGAATAGTTATATAACCATTCTGGCGATATCTATGGCTAAGTAAGAGGACGTGAATTAAGACGGAAATTCATTCAAAACATGGTATCATTGACCTAGCGGACGGCGGTTGCGGAAGAGATCCGGAAAGGATTTTCTGGAAGCGATCTCCGGAATTCAACGCGACAAATGTGGTGCGCCGGAAAACTTTGTGTTGGAAATGAACACTAATAATCCTGTGCTTTCAGCCATTTCAGGAGCGAGATTTTTGTCGGGGAACCAAGTAACAAAAGGACGATGTGGCTGATGCGCAAGCAAATTTAGATGAACAGAACTTGGACGCGGCACACATCCGTATATTTTCATTTGGTATAGAATTGGGCCAAGACACTAACCAAGGCACATGGACATTGTAAAGTTGCCCGCACCTACGCAGGTTCGAACTATTGACATATGGATTACAAGCCAGAGGACTGGAACACTCCGAGGGGAACAACTACAAAAAATGTCGATGAAGTTCCATAGACAGGGAATACCGACACTTATCGAGTGACTGATGATGAAAAATGCATAAGGTAGATGAGTGGAGATTAATGCCGTGGAGTCCACTGAACAGTCATGGAAAGATATACCCCAAGTCAATTACACCGAGCCATAATAAGCGTAAAGTAACAAATGAACACGTTTGGTCGAATCATATGATGGACCTCTGACCACGATTAATCGCGAATGAGCGTAAGCAGATCTCAGTACAACTGGATTGGGTGATGGAAAGCCTGTGGGCAAGGAGTGCACTCCGACCGCAAAGAATGAAAAACTGCATCATGTCCCGTGCCAGTTGATCTGCATTTAGAAATCATGAACAGCTGACTTAATAGCTAGATGCTTGGACAACGGAGTCATGGACATCTTCGCTTTCAAGATGGGTACGGCCTCGAGCAGTTGACCTATAGATACGAGTGGACGACAGAGTACAGTTGAATAAAGTTAGATACCTTGCAATCCACCAGAATACCGCTTTAGAATAAAACTTAGTAAACTACAACCGGATGATATCAGAAGGGTCTAGAACCAGTGGAATGGCTGTTCAGAGACATGTTGCCCCATGGAATGACACCGAATAGAAACTTAGGGGGTACAGATGAAACACGTACTCCAGCCTTTGGAGTCCGCGTACTAATGATGACTGACTGCCTAACTCCTGAAAATCAGTCGAAGGATGAGTCGTAAAAAGTAATCAGCCAGAAGAAAAACCTCCAAGATGTCACTCACGCATCATCTCCCAGCAGAGTGATGTAGGAGGCCACGCGTTCGGAAGCTTTTAACGGTTCCAGTAGTGAGGTAGGAGGGGAGGTCAATCTCATGTAACCGTCTTCTTCAATAAAACCTGAAGGTAACAAGGGTGTTTAAAAAAGGATAAAAAGCCGCTTGCGATGGCACACATCCATAGGAGGAAAAGATACGGTGTCTACAACTGTCGAAAAGTAACTCGGATTGTGAAAAAGGCCAAAGTGCTTAAATTAAATTACCCACTATTTAATTTGACTTTGAGCAACCAGAAGTTAAAGAGGGAACACCCGCGCAATGGTAGGTCGGGGCGAGGGGGTCCGATCCAGTGCTCATGAATACTGGATATTGTATTATAGAGCAAGTAGAAATGAATACTGTACAATTCTTTCGAAATATGGTGAAAAGCGTTAGAAAAATTGTCAGACGTGGATATCGTTATCGTTCTCATGTAACATTTAGAATAGCTGACTCAAGGCATTGCAGGACCCACAAATGTGAGATGTCATCGTAAGTGTGCAATCGTTCTCTAAATCGAATAGTGCTAAAGGATAAATGTAACCGTTTGAACTGTTGCACAGATGTTGCCTCAATCACATGTTCAGGTAAACTGTTCCAAATATTTATCACTCTCCATTCGAAGCACAGTGGGTGGGAAACTCGCTTCACACCCGGCACGACAAGTGTGTATGTGTGTTCGCGTGTGCTGCATGGCCCTCGTAAGTGCAGCATTGGCCTTAGCATGGAGAAATCACCGAGATGTAGAATACGGTAGGTCATAATGAGGTCAACTCGCAGCCGACGGTAGGATAAGATGTGGAGTCCTAGTTCCTCGCACCGGTCTTCATATCCCAAGCCACGTAAACTCGGGATGACCCAGGTAGCGACGTGTTGGACCCGTTCGATCTATCGTGCCTCGCTTCGGGTAATGGGAAAGTAGGTCGGCGAACCACACTCTAGCATTTGTCTAATGATGGAAGAGAAGAGGCGAGTAGTAACCTCTTCAGACCATGTGCCGAAGCTACGTTTCAGCTCCCAAAGCATGCGCAGTCCTTTACGATATAGCCTGTTCGTGTTGTCCATGAACTTCAAATCGTAGCGCGAGAGTACATCTGGGTCCTTCACGGAGAGTGTGGGATATAGCGGTTGACTTTCAAGGGTGTAGGTTAGGCCCTCAGCACCCTTCTCCAAGCTCATAAATACAGACTTGGCTGGGTTGACCGAGAGATGAACTACTGCAGACCATGTGTGAGCACTCCGCGTTGACCATTACCCCCTTTCGTCCAAGTGAAAGGATAAACATGGATAAGTTGAACACATGGGACTCATTTAGATCGTCATCCTGCTTCGTTACCCTATCCTATAGTCATTTCTTAACCCATTATTGTTTAGTTCAGACTGACACTTGCGGCCCCCGAAAACCTGGCACCTATTATTCAGAAAATAACTGACTGATTATAGTCTTTCGGAAAGTTTTCAGGCTCCCATCGGCGCCGCAAACTAAATTATCTGATTGAGGCCAAGATACCGGTAGTACGGCTAGCAGCATTAAACCCTAAATGATTAATTTTTCAGTGAAATTTCGATAAACGTCCTATCTCGCGACCCAGTATTAACTTCCGCAAGTGCTTTGGTTAGGTAGTGGACAAGCAAGTAGTCCTCGAAGTCGGTGTAGTGATTTAGCCTCAACCAGAGAAAAATAAGAAAAGCCGAAGCCTCACACTCTTTGGTTCGCGGATCTAGAATTAGTCAACAAACGATGTACACATACAAACGTCTGTCTAACGAGCTCTCGTTCAACAAACTCACAGCGTGTCTAAAAATAAACCGCGGCTTGCATGTCACACAAAGTGACCAGACACGGGCATGGGTTCGGTTCCCTGAAGGGGACTGAGGGAATGTGCACTACCAACGATTCAACAGAGGAAAAGAAACATCAGTCTGGTGATTTTCCGGATTGGCGATTTGTCTGTCTGTCTTGTAATCTAACTGCGACGAACTAAATAAATCCCACCGAATCGCTCTACTCATGAGTACTCGCTTAACGCTGGCATTTTTGTTTCTACATTCAAATTCACAACTATAGAAGAGTAGTAGGGAGAGTTGAATGGTATAGGTAGAAGTTCGTCACATCTAGGCTCACTCAAACAGCCGCCACACGCCCGGAAAAGCACTGTACGCGCGTTTCATCCTTTCGGGAATCATCGGACCCCTGGTAGGGCTCGAACCCGCAACTCGACTGTTGCCAGTCCGTGGTTGAGACTACTGAGCTACGGGGGACGGCAACGACCGCCGTTAATAAGTTACTAGATGTGGTATAGCGCCGCTCACTATCCACTGACTTACACGTTACTGCCGTGCAGAGGACAGGGTAGCTCCCTCACCAAGCGACGAGCTTACCAAACTTAAGCCGCCAATTAACTTATGGCATTATAAGCAGTTTGGTCTGCGTATTGATTATAGAAGAGTAGTAGGGGAGTTGAATGGTATAGGTAGGAATTCGTCACATCTAGGCTCACTCAGACAGCCGCCACAAGCCCGGAAAAGCACTGTACGCGCGTTTCATCCTTTCGGGAATCATCAGCAGTGCGCATTCCATCGGACCCTTGGTAGGGCTCGAACCCGCAACTCGACTGTTGCCAGTCCGTGGTTGAGACCACTGAGCTACGGGGGACGGCAACGACCATCGTGAATAAGTTACTAGATGTGATATAGCGCCGCTCACTATCCACTGACTTACACAATTGCTCATTTGACTGCAGCTCAAAAACCTCACATGGTACCCAACATGTCCATGGAAGAAAGAGTCACTCAAGTCCGTGGCAATTATGGGAACAGCTCATATGCTGAATGCACTGTAAAAACTGCGAAAGTCAAGAGCGATGGAGCTACTATCGCTACAAGGGCGCACATTTAATCCTCGATAGCGGAAACCGAACCAGATTTCGCAAGATACAACTTCTATCAGCGAGATAGCAGACATAAAGTCCAAAAGCAGAGGTTGAATTCAAACGTCAAAAATGGAACAAGGAGAATACTGGTCAATAAAGGCCAGTTAGGTTGACTCCCAATATAGATGACGGACGGGAGTGGTCGCTTAGCCACCAAACTAGGATGGGCATATACTTCGAAGACCAGAAACAATGGGAAAATTGGACAAAATTGGCGGAGGAGTTCGGTAATCATCCATTGGAATAAGGAAACGACCCACGGAGCAAGGAAGGATATGTTTGATAGTGGAATGAATAAAGCCTATCTCATAAATGTAGCTAAACGGCAACATTGAATCCGTGACATTAAAGTTGACAGAGCAGAGCCAACCAATGAAGGCGCATTCTGACCAGAGCTATAAAGCAGTTACAAGTAGTAAGAAATTTGGTTGCACGCAGTAGGATAACAATCAGTATAGATTCGTTATTGAAGTTTCCCGTCGAAGATCTCGACTGCATTGTCAATAAGAACTTGGCAGGTTACACCTGTGTGCCATCGGCTGTGTACACAGCAGTATTAAAGAGTCAGTAATCAGTACGCGTTTCGAATGCACTAAAGAAAGCAGCTAGGATCACTGTCGATTGTAAAGGAGTCGGAGCATAGGCTGCTCACATTGAGGCTAACTGTAGCGAAAAAGTTGGTAATGCAAATATTTCGTAAGACTGGAAACAGCTAGCACGCCGGTGTCTTGTGTTAAAAGAAATCTTATTCTATACACTCTAATAATTGATGCATGAAAGATGAGTGACACTCAAGTCTATCCAAGGTGAAAAGTGGTCTTAAAGAGCCACAGTTATTTGGTCCGTATCACATGATCAGTACGTCAAATAAGGAATCAAGTAAAACTTTAAAAGGCAACCAGCAGAGTTCAGTGAGCTACAGAAAAACGTATTTTAATGCATTTTTTGGGATCTAGCCTGACCACGACATTACAGAAATAAAAAGATCGAACTGAATAGGAACACAAATTTCTCGAAATACGAATTTTAAGGATTGATATAAGGATATAAGGATATAAGGATTGATATAAGTTGGTGGGTGCCGGTATTTTCGACAAAGACGGGAGGTCTCAAAGATACGCATATAACGCCGAAACCAGTTCTATGATGAGAAACAATTAAGAAGACTAAAATCCAAGAGTAGGCAATTTGGGTAGATGAGTGAGATTCGGCGGTTGTATTACAACAGAATGGATAATAACAACCGTAAAGCGAAGTAGATGTAAACCAATCAGCCGACAATTCAGATAACACACCTACCAATCCGGAAAAGCACCAGAGGGCCGTTTCGTCCTGTCGAGGCTCAGCCGTGGTGCGCATGCTTTTGTTCTCATCCGAGGATCGAACACATGATTGGTAGTGGCTTGCGCCAACTAGCCTGCAGTTTAGGCCACTGAGCCATAGAGAACGGTAGCCAACTACCATGAATTGTTAGCTGATTGTGATACACCCCGACCCATCCTTCACTGTCATGCAGATGACAGCGCACCACTGACGAGCCCCATTAGGGCGAGACGGCCTTCTGGTGCTTTTCCGGATTGGTAGTTATCTGAAATGTCAACTGATTGGGAAGAACACAAAAAACGCCAAAATTCTTCTAATCATAAGTAACTGTGAAGCAATCTGATCTACCACAATTAAGAGCAAAGGATGGGAGTACAGTTATGTGAAAGTTGTCTGTCGAATGATGCTGATGGCGATGGTGAAGCAGTGTGACAACTCGGGCAGTAGCGGTTAAGTTAGTATGAGACGAAGGCATCAGCAATGCGCCGGTACGCAGTACTGACGCTTCGCTGCCGTGCAGCCACCAACAGTTGCGCGTGGGCTAGGGATGCTGCGAGGGTCGGTCGCCTAGTCCCCTATGCAAACTCAAACCTGCGATCTCCGGATTACAAGACAGGGGTGTGATCAGTTCGGCCATTCGCTGGGGTCACGCATTATTGTAAACACATTACAGTAAGTAGAATAACGAAGCCGTGTAGTTGTGTGCACCTTTCATCTGTTGTCAGAAGTGCGGTTTCAGAGTGCCCTCTCTCCCTGATCGCAGAAGTCTCGGCTAATAATTCGAAACATACTGGCCTATCACAGGCAATTATGCCACTTAGGAGCCGCTAATTGCTGAAGCACGAAGAACAGAGACGATCTGGACGCAGGTAACAAGGCATCAAATAGAATGAAAAAGCACTGAAATTCGTGCTGCACTGCCTTCACACAATGGCCAACTGCGTGTGATCTTGTGGTAGCGGTAAAGTGAAAGCGTGCTGAACCGGAAAGACTGTGTAGGCCTAACTAAGTCTACCATATCCGCCATTATCACAGCTGATTGCATCAGTAAAAATTACGGATGAACTACTACTGTGTATGATGACATTAATGGCCCTAAGAGGGAAATAGAGTTTGAAAGTGCGCTGATCACCAAAGCAAGCTGAATGACATCATGAGCAGGAATACCGGCTGAAATCGCGCTTACTTTTGTCGGTATGGTTTGCGTGTGACCGTGGGAGCGCTGCACCAGCGAGTTCATTCGTCTGCAAGGAAGCAAAAAAAGTTAAGATGGAGAGTGAGAACAGAGAGTTCAACAATGAATACAGATGGAAGAAAATCAAAAACAGATTATGACGAGAGTGACTTGAAAAATTTACCGGAAAGGGGAAAAACGATAGGTATCACTACGGACAAATACGAAAGGCGAGAAAGAAAGACTATCTGGTGAGCAATTGCTTTCAATGATTCATCATCAGGCCATTACAATGAAATGGAGGCTAAAAAGAAAAAATCAATCCAGTCAGTTCAAAACGAATAGATCACATGAAGGTCTATGTCAGAGATGAGAAAACGAACTAGGTCTTAGTGGCCTAGTTGTTTGCTACAGCGTCTGACCGAAGGCAGTCTTCGGTCTTCGCTGGCCAGGGAAGTTGGAGAGCCTGTACCAGCTTTTTCTGCGAGCATAAGGACGGCTGGATCGATCGAATGCATAGTGTTTCAGCTGTCGCAAGTGTACGAAGGCGGTAACCTTTCGCTCTGTACGGCGGAACCTTGTAAACTCTCTGGAAAGCGATTTCCAATCCACCTCATGGCTGGTGTCCACAATGTGGGTCAGAATGGCGCCCCTTTGACGCAGCCAACGAGGGCAATGTTCGTTCATGCGTTTGGATAACTGCCGCGCCGTTCGACCAGTATACGCTGCGCCACAGGCGCCCACGAATTGACAAACTACCATTGAGTTGGTCAGCATCGGCATCTTGTCCTTGTTTTGTGAACGAATGAGTGGTTTCGTTGAAAAAACGCACTTCAACGAGGCTGCTTGGAAGATCGACTTTACCGCGGCCGAAAGGCCTCTGGTTACACGCTCGGTAGCCGCGTTCCTTTGAATGGTAAACGAATAAGTAACTTTCTTTGCGGCTGTTAACACTGATATTGGTCTAGGTTTTGCTTGGAAGTTCCTTAAACTAAATCTATCGGAATAACCCCTTTCACGTAGAGTATTCTGTATGAACATTATCTCCGCGTCTATGTGTCTTCTGTACAGATTCGACGTGCTCTAGAGGTAAGGTAGTGAATCAGGTTGCGCTTGTATCTCATGTATGTATGTATGTAATCTCAACAGTCTAGTAACTAGACATAGAGCCAAGAAAACCATGGAAATCAGTGTATAAGAGATAGTCATTGCGTCATAATCGTCATGGCATGCTAGCTGAAGGTGGGCAACACACTTCAGCTAATATGCCGCAAGAAAATGGAATATTTTGACAAAAATACAGAACAAAACATTTTTAGTTTGTTTGTCACACGCCGGTTTTTCTCTTTTTTGTCATTTTCAATTTTTGTAGAATTAAACATGTGAATCAACACAACACTGTACACAATTCTTCCATTGATTCCGGTTGCGGGCCATGTCTTCAAGTGTCCTAAGCCATTGGCACTCGCCATCTTTGGGTCCCCATCCTGGAAGACGTACGGGTCCAACAGCGGCTAGACACGACGTCAGCGATTTCATGTGCTGCCGCCAAGTGGAAGGCTGACCACCACGCGGTCGCTTCCAGCCAGGTCCTTGACGAGCGAATAGAGCACGACGCGGTAGGCGCTCAGGTGCCATGCGTAGGACATGACCGAGCCATCTTAACTGGCGCAACAAAACCAGTTTGTTGAAGGAAATACTTGCATTCCCCAAGACGCGACGTCGAACGTCATTACTGGTAACTCGATGTTGCCACCGAACACGAGCGATCCTCCTTAAGCAACCGTTATCGAACGCAGAAAGACGACGCATATCTTCCACGCGAATCGGCCAGGACTCGCTCCCGTACAACAATACTGAGCGAACGGACGCGCTGTAAACTCGGCCCTTTAGTGAGAATGAGACGTCACGACGACGCCACAAGTGCCTCAGATTGACAAATGCTGATCGAGCTTTAGCGATACGAAGCGAAACTTCTTTGTTGATTGTGCCGTCAGCGGAAACACAGCTCCCAAGGTAGACGAAACTATCTACCTGTTCAAGTTGTGCACCTTGGAGAGTGAGCACGGGTGCAGGTGAAAGCCAATCCTTGAGCAGTACTTTACACTTCGATGGGGCGAAGCTCATGCCATACTTAGATGCTTCAACCGCCAAACGATCCAGAATGAGTTGCATACCCTGAGGATCGTCACCAAGTAAGGCGATATCATCAGCATAATCTAAGTCGGTCGCGCGCTCACCCGGTAGAAGCTCTAGGCCAAAATGTTGGAAACCTTCTAGGGCATTCGACAGAACGTCTTCGATTGCGAAGTTGAAGAGGAATGGGGACATAGGGCAGCCCTGTCGCACACCGCTATTGACAGTGAATTGCGAGGAAAGCTTGCCATAGACCCTCACTCTGCCGGATGTGTGAAGGTAAAGTGCTCGTAAGATGGCGATATATTTCTCTGGCACCTCGTTCTTTAGTAAGCAACGCCATAAAGCAGGTCGATCAACGGAGTCAAAAGCAGCACGTATGTCTAGGAATGCAACGATAGTGGGCCTGTGATAAATGTGGCGATATTCAAGGAGTTGGCGGAGCGTGAAGATTTGATCCACGCATCCGCGGCCAGGACGGAAACCAGCTTGTTCTTCACGGTAGTACGATTCACGTACTGAGGATAGTCTACGAAGCAGAATGGATGCCAACAGCTTAGAGGCAACCGAAATAAGACTAATCCCGCGATGATTTGCATATGAAGTGCGAGCGCCTTTCTTGAAAATTGGGACAATAACTGATTCGCCCCAAGAGGGAGGCACTCTCTCTTCATGCCAAATTTTTGCGAACAGCGCGGTTAGCTGGTTAATGACTGCCACACCGCCATACTTGAATAGCTCCGGAGGAAGTCCGTCTAAGCCGGCAGCCTTGAACTAAACTGTGAAAATTCGTGTACTGATCTATCCAGGTGGTTTTTCTGTAGACCTGATGCTGGATAGACTCGTCTGGTCTCCTATTTAACAAGACATCGAGATATGGTAGCCGATTGTTGCTTTCCTTCTCATAAGTAAACTGCACTGCTGCATGCACTCGGTTGAAGTGGTCAAGAATTTCATCCAGATTAACGTTTATCCACCGCAACAAATATATCGTCCATGTATCGATGGTAGCGGTCAAAAAGGTTTATCGCAGCCCGCATTTCAGGTCTCTCTAGCTTTGCCATGAAGATTTCCGCTAATAGCGGTCCGAGGGGGGACCCCACGGCCACGCCGTCCTTCTGTCGGTAGTATTTCTCGTTGAATAGAAACTGTAAGTTCCAGGTGCAGCGTAACAGTAGGCCTTTGAGCTCACGCGTAGGTATACACACTTTTATTCCTGATGATTATATAGTCGCAAATGTAGTTAATCATCTCAACCGGTGGGACGTTTGTAAAAAGAGAGACGACATCGAAGGAGAGCATTACTTTCGCATTGATTTTATCATCCTTGATGCTACGTGAAAACGGTTATCCCGATAGATTTAGTTTAAGGAACTTCCAAGCAAAACCTAGACCAATATCAGTGTTAACAGCCGCAAAGAAAGTTACTTATTCGTTTACCATTCAAAGGAACGCGGCTACCGAGCGTGTAACCAGAGGCCTTTCGGCCGCGGTAAAGTCGATCTTCCAAGCAGCCTCGTTGAAGTGCGTTTTTTCAACGAAACCACTCATTCGTTCACAAAACAAGGACAAGATGCCGATGCTGACCAACTCAATGGTAGTTTGTCAATTCGTGGGCGCCTGTGGCGCAACGTATACTGGTCGAACGGCGCGGCAGTTATCCAAACGCATGAACGAACATTGCCCTCGTTGGCTGCGTCAAAGGGGCTCCGGGAACATTAGTAGCGCCATTCTGACCCACATTGTGGACACCAGCCATGAGGTGGATTGGAAATCGCTTTCTAGATAGTTTACAAGGTTCCGCCGTACAGAGCGAAAGGTTACCGCCTTCGTACACTTGCGACAGCTGAAGCACTCTGCATTCGATCGATCCAGCCTTCCTCGCAGAAAAAGCTGGTACAGGCTCTCCAACTTCCCTGGCCAGCGAAGACCGAAGACTGCCTTCGGTCATACGCTGTAGCAAACAACTAGGCCACTAAGACCTAATTCGTTTTCTCATCTCTGACATAGACCTTCACGTGAGCCATTCGTTTCGAATTAACTGGGTCGCTATTTATTTTTAGCCTCCATTTCATTGTAATGGTCTGATGATGAATCATTGAAAGCAATTGCTCACCAGATAGTTTTTCGTTATCGCGACTTTAATAGAAATTTTCAAGTTACTTAAATACGAGAGGGACTGTGCTCTCCATCTGTATCGCCTGGCAGTGTGGATGAACCAAGAGTTAGTTGAGACCGGAGCAATGAAAACTGCCACGTAAATGACAGAATGGTGATTGAGAAACGAAAGTAGTGTGCATGTTTTTGAAAACAATAAGGGCACCAATGAGAAAACCGCTACTGATTAGCCAGTCAGTTCAGCTGACCAACTATGATCTGGGTACCGAGGTGCCGTGGATCCAGTTGCTATGACTCACGTCAACAGAATAACAATAACAATGGTAAGAAAGTGAAGTTGAATGCAAGTAGAAAAGAAGGGAAATGGAATCAGGACCAAAATGTGTTAAGCTAATCAGGATGAAATGAAAAGTAACGGCAAGATGTGAGAAAGCGAATGCAAAAACACTAGTTGTGAGGCTGTTATGTTTGATAGTCGCTAACCACTGGTGTGGTGTGGTTCGCCGCCATCCACGAAGACAGCATACATCAGCCTGACCAAGCCTTTCAGTCAACTTCTTTGTATCCTCACGCCACGTCATCGACTGACAAGCTCGTGATTTCGCCCAATATTGTGTAGCCACGACGTACAATACATGCCGAGGTAGTCGATCACACAAGATGGAGGGTGAGGTTAAGTGGTAGAGTTCGGCACACAGGTGGTTATTTGACACGAAATCACCACTTAAGCTCGATCCCGAAGGGATAGTCTTCGAAGGCCCAAGTGTGGCTCCTCATCCAATCGATCTATCGGGCCCCTTCACGGAATGCTAATTG